ACAATATTAAAATTTAACCTCTCAATGTCTATGAAATTAGGATAAATATATCAAGTTGTAAACATTAATTAAGGCATTTCATTTGATTTATAAGAATAATAGATAAAAGAATAATAATGTCATAAAGTTTGTATAGCTTTGAAATATGGTTCTATTAAATTATATTTGAAAAGTTTAGGGGAAGAGATTTGTTTGTGGGGGGAAGCTAAGATTTCTAATTTGCAATGATTTTATTAATCATATAACTTACTCTGTTTCTAGCATAAGCCTCTGTTCTCACCTGTGGTAATTTTTTATTCAACTAGTTACATTATTTAACGATTTATTTGGTGAAAAGGAGGATACATTTAAACAATGGTTTCTTAACCTCCACTATGAACATTTTGTTCTTTTTTGGGAGTGGGGGCTGGCCTGTGCATTGTCAGATGTTTAATGGCATCTCTGCCCCTTTTTACCTGCCAAGTGTCAGCATCACCTTCTAGTTGTAACAATCAAAACATGTCGCAAGACATTGTCAAATGTCCCCAGGAAGGGTGTAGGGCACAAAATCACCCCCTCCTCTTCCCTGTTAAGTGTCACTGTTCTGAAGTTTTGGCTTACACTTTCTTCTCTTGCATCTTCTATTAACTTTCTCAATATTTTCAATGTGTGAGATCAGGTTCCTTTAGTGCTGCAAAATAAGACCATTCTGAGTCTTACTCAAAGCATTTTTGATTGACATGGGTTTGAAGATATGCATGTCTTTCAACTCATCTGATTAGTTAGGATTTCCCAGCTTGTCAGAGAAATCCTCTCTCTTTTTTTCTTCTTCTTTTTATTTTTCTTTATTTTTCATATTCAGGGTTGGTACAGCCTTAATGTCTATTCTTTACACCAAGACTTTGAAGATCAAGCCTGCAAGTCCAACATCATTTCCTCTAAGAAGCAAGTAGGTTTTTTACCCTGAGGGCTGTGGTGGCCTGCCTTCTCAGAGTTCCCTAAGTAGATGCATAATCAAAGCCCCTCTCTATGAGCCTCACTACGCTAGTGGGAACGTAGGTCCCTCTATGTACATTTGGGTTTGGCCACTTCATATTATCACAAAGAACAGGTCTCCCGTAAGGGAACTATACCTATCTTCTTTTTATACATGTACCATTTCTCCTCATCCCTCTCCCTTCTTATGCATTTGGTGTCTTCATGGACTTATGCTAATTCACAGAAAATGACTTAACTTTTCCATTCCCTGGATGGTTAGAGCCAGTGTCACAGTCCTCTCACTGGAGACAAGATGCTTACTTTACTGCTCATCCTCCTTTGAAGGGCACAGAAGCATGTGGTTTTGCCTGGCATTCATTTTCACCAATGTGCAAAAGCCCTAATCATAGTCTCCATTTGTTTGCCTATGAAGTTGGTAAGCACGCATTTACCAAGTACAAGTGCTTCTCACTCCTCTGTCCACCTGTAATACTGGCACTTGATTAACAAATGCCTTCTCCCTAACAGGAAGAATGCTGTCTCATCAGTTAAAAACAATACCACATATCATGCACACAGCTTCCTTCTTGAGAAACAAGGTTCTTGTGGTCAAGAAAGAATGGGATTCGCTGTCATCTGATTCCATATGCCCACGTAGGACACTCAGTATCTTGCATATAATAATACTTCTATAGTTGCTTTTAGCAAGAGAGTTTAAATTCGTATCTTCACAGTCAAATAGCCAGCTACTTTTTTAAGTTAATATTGTGAAGATAACTTGACATAATAGAAAACAGGAGAGTAGTCACTTCGGGACTTATCTGAAGAAAAAGTTTGGGAATGCTTTTTAATGTGTTAACATATTTCAAAGTAATTCTCTTCACATTGACAGCCACCACCACTTTGAGCTCTTGCTTAGTACTTAATATGTATTATGTCATTTTTAACCTCAGAAACAATCTTGGTGAGCTTTGATTGGAGATAAGTATTACTATTTCCATCTTACAGATGAAGAAACTAAAACTCAGAGATGTTGTGTGAACTTTACCAAGGGCACACAGTTTTTAAGTAGCAAATTTAAGATCCAGTCCAAAGCCCAACAAAGTAAGATGCTGGATATCACCATCTAGAACAGGAATTTCTACCAAACTCTGAAAGTAAAAAGCTTCTTGACTAATCCCAACAACTATCTCACTAAGAAGTCTTAAAGATTATGTCACAGTATAGTGTGAAAAAACATAAGATTAGGGGCTTCCAGCTAAGATGGAGGCACAGGTAGATAACGCTTCACTTCCTTGCACAACCAAAAGAAGGAAAACAATTACTTTAAAAACAAAAACAACCAGAACTTCCAGAAAATGTAACTATATGGAAGTCCAACAACCAAGGAGTTAAAGAAGAAACATTCATCCAGACTGGTAGGAGAGGAAGAGATAGGCAGCCAGGGCAGAGCAGACCTGTGGCAAGGTGGCTGGTGGACTGGGTGGTCTCACATTCATGTGTAAATAAACCAGGAGGAACAACTGGGGAGTGAGATAAGACCACACAACCCAGGATTCCAGTGCAGGGAAAGAAAGCCTCAAAACCTCTGCTGTAAAAATCTGTGGGAGTTGTGGTGGCAGGAGAAACTCTCAGTCTCACAGAAGAGTCCGTTGAAGAGACCCACAGGGTCCAAGAACATATACAAACCCACCAACCTGGGAATCAGCACCAGAAGGGTGAAATTTGCTTGTGAGTAGAGGGGGGAGTGACTGAAAACCAGCTGAGAGTCTAGCATGTGGCATTTTTCCCTCTCTGACCTCTGCCTCATATACAGCACCATACCAGGTGGGTTGCCCCATTCTAAGGCTCCACTATTACAACATAGCAGGTGTGCCAAGACAAAGAAGTATGGCCCAAATGAAAGAATAGATCAAAAATCCAGAAAAAGAACTAAGTGATGAGGAGATAGCCAACCTATCAGATGCAGAGTTCAAAACACTGGTAGTCAGGATGCTCACAGTAATAGTTGAGTATGATTGCAAAATAGAGGAAAAGTATAGGCTATGCAAAGTGAAATCAAGAAAAACATGTAGGGAACCAACAGTGAAAGGAAGGAAACTGGGATTCAAATCAATGATTTGGAGCAGAAGGAAGAGATAAACATTCAACCAGGACAGGATGAAGAAACAAGAATTCAAAAAAAATGAGAGGCTTAGGAACCTCTGGGACAACTTTAAACATTCCAACATCCGAATTATAGGGGTGCCAGAAGAAGAAGAGGAAGAGCAAGAAATTTAAGACTTTTTTGAGAAAATAATGAAGGAGAGCTTCCCCAGTCTGGCCAAGGAAATAGACTTCCAGGAGATCCAGGAAGCTCAGAGAATCCCAAAGAAGTTGGACCCAAGGAAGCACACACCAAGGCACATCATAATTACATTACCCAAGATTAAAGATAAAGAGAGAATCTTAAAAAAGCAGCAAGAGAAAAGAAGACAGTTACCTACAAAGGAGTTCCCAGAAGACTATCAGCTGATTTCTCCAAAGAAACCCTTGCAGGCAAGAAGGGGCTGGAAAGAAGTATGCAAAGTCACGGAAGACAAGGACCTAAATCCAACATTACTCTATGCAGCAAAGCTATCATTTAGAATGGAAGGGCAGATAAAGTGCTTCCCAGATAAGGTCAAATTAAAGGAGTTCATCATCACCAAACCCTTATTATATGAAATGTTAAAAGGACTTAACTAAGAAAAAGAAGATCAAAACTATGAACATTAAACTGACAACAAACTCACAACTATCAACAGCTGAACCTAAAAAAAAAAAACAATTAAAAAAACCCAAAACAAAAACTAAGCAAACAACTAGAACAGGAAGAGAATCACAGAAATGGAGATCACATGGAGGGTTATCAGTGGGGTGGGGGTTGGGGGAGGGTGGGAAAATAGTACAGGGATTAAGAAGCATAAATGGTAGGTACAAAATAGGAGGAGGTTAAGAAGAGTATAGGAAATGGAGAAGACAAAGAACTTACATGTACAGCCCATAGACATGAACTAAGGGATGGGGGGCAGGGAATGTTGGTGGGAGGGGAGTGCAGGTGAAGGGGAATAAAAAGAAAAAAAGGGGACAACTGTAAAATATTCTTTAAAAAGAAACCTTTAATGTATAATCGATAACATTTTTTGGTGATGTCAAAGTCGTTGGAAAGATTATTCTTGGAGAAAAGTTACTCTGTTGAATTGCTATGGACATAAAAAGATGAGGTAGGTGGAAGTCTGAATGCTGGAAAGTTCAGAGGGAACTTCATCAGAGATCACCAAAGCAAGGGTAAGAAAACCCCAAGCCAGGAAACTGGTCCCGGCCTCCCTAACAAAAATGATGGCCAGGAGTGTGAGAGGAAAATGTGTGAAGGTTTCCATGATGACTTATGGAAATTATTGCCTTAAACCTGTCTTCTAAATCTGAACAAATGGTCAGTATCCAATTTTCAGAAATCTAATTACCTCCAGTACTTGGAAGGCTGTCCTCTGTAATGCAGAATCTATTTCTGCAGATAAGACTACCATTCCACTTGGCATTCATATTTCCAGTCAATGTTTCTATTTGATTAGTGCTGGTCAGTTTACCAGGGCTTCTTCAATCCTTGGGGAGCTGGCACGCTCTCATTCCTAAACTCCATGCTATAAAGTCTTATCAACAATGCAAAGCTTTTCATGATGACCTTCTGATGCTCTGTCAGCTATAAACTCCCAAAGTTATTTTTGTTAAATTAACACCTGATACAATTATTAGAAATGCCTCCTTGCCCTGGCTGGTGTGGCTCAGTGGATTTAGCACCGGCCTGCAAACCAAAGAATCTCAGGTTCAAGTCCCAGTATAGGGCACATGCCTGGGTTGCAGGCCAGGACCCCAGCAGGGATCATGCGAAATGCAACTTCACATTTATATTTCTCTCCCTCTCTTTCTCCCTCCCTTCTCCTCTCCAAAAATAAATACATATTTTTTTTTTAAAGAGAAATGCCTCTTTGTAGAAAAATAGGTAATAAAACCAAGAAACCTACCCTGGCCCTGATCAAAGTCTTCTCCAGGTGCTGTCCAAGATAAAGTCACCTCCTCTTCCATTGTTACAGCCTCCAGGTCAATGATTTTGCACGGTGGGAACACATCAGGATGGGGGCCAGCTGGCACTCCCAGCACGGAAAAGGAGCCCCCCGAACTTATTCGGCTAAAGCCCCACTTTTGCTCCTCCTCACTCCTGCCCCTGAGTCGTCTTGGGGCATTCATCTGAATGTTACCTGGGACAGCAAAGAAAAGAATAGCCTAAACAACAAATTACAACCTCCTGAATACCTTGTTTTTGAAAGATTATTGAGAGATATTTTAAAACTTTTTTTCTTTACTACACTTTTAGAATAACCGAGTTGGTTTATTCCACCATTCATTCACTCATTCATTCAGTGTTTTGAGGATATATCCTGTGCCAGTAATCATGGACAAAGCAGTATTGCATGGAATTGATAGTCATATTAATAAACATACATTTACAAATTGTGATAAATGTTAGAAGGAAAAAAGGCAGGGTGCTATGGAAGAAAATAGCACAGGTACATAATACAGTGTGTTATTAAGGAAGTTATGTTTAAAAGCTTTCTGAAGTATGAGTATGTGTCAGCCAGATAAAGAGGGGAGGTAAGAATATCTTATGCAGAGGGAAGAGGTTATAAAAAAACTCTGAGGCGTGGAAGAGCTTTGCAAGTTGGATAAACTTAAAGTGAGGATTACAGTGGTTTGAGATAAGACAGGAGAGAACTTTATGCAGGAGCTCATGGGCCGCTTTAGTGGTTTAAAGTTTAATCTTACATTGTGGGTAAGGGCAGTGACATGATGACGTTTTCCCTTTTACTGGTCACTCTGGCCATTCCTGGTGGAAAATGAATTCAAACATAGCAAGCAAAGAGGCCACTGAGACAGCCATTGCCAAAAGTCCGGACAAGAAAAGATGGCAGCTTTGTGCCCTGGCCTGGTGCTCGGTAGGTTGGAGCATAGTTCTAGTACATCATGGTTGCAGGTTTTTGATCCCCATTCAGGGCACATACAAGCAGCAACCAATGCATGCATTAATAAGTGGAATAACAAGTCTCTCTCTTTCTCTCTCTCTCTCCCCCCCACCATCTCTGTCTTCTCTGTCTCTCCCTCTCTTTCTCTCTCCCTTTATCCCTCTCCCCCTCTCCCTCTTTCTAAAATAAAAAGAAATGGCATCTTGGGTTGGGTAAGGTAAGTGGAGGGAAGGTAAGAAGTAGGCAGCTTAAGATGTATTTTGGAGATGAAATCAGCAAAAGCTGGTGGTGGATTTGAATATAGCCAAAGAGAAAATTGTTCAACAACAACAGCAAAACAGTAGCTCCCAGGTTTTTAAAATGAGCAACTTGGGAGGAGAAGCAGGCTAACGTAAAGGAGACTGGAAATGTAAGTTTTACAAGGTTTGTAATTCCTGTAAAACATGTAATTGAAATGTCAAGGAGCCTGTTAGATATGGATTTTAATCTCCTATAGAGGCTTTAGGTGAATTTTAAAATTTTGAAGTTGTGGATTTGTAAGTTATAGTCATATAAACATTGTTAAAGCTACATGGATTAATGAGGTTATCTAATAAGAATTTCAACTATAATGATAAATTGCATTTTTTGAGTGCCTGGCTTACTATGTGCCAGGCACTTTTCTAAGTATCTTATGTATATCAAATATTTAATTTTTCCAGCAATGTTATGAGAATGGCACAACTATTACCCCCATTTTTACAGATGATGAAACTAAAGTACACAAAAGCCAAGTAACTTGCCCAAAGTCATACAGCTAGTAAACGGAGGGGCTAGGTTTCCAACACAGGCAGTGTGGCTCCAAATGGTGGAGTGAGAAGATTAAGACTGAACTCTGAGAATTGGCAACAATAGGGGAGGAGAAGCTGGAAAAGAGCCTCACAAAAAATTCCAGAGAATAAGAGGTCATCAGGAGAGCGTTGTGTCACAGAAACCAGGAAATGACAAAGGGGAAATAAATCAGTTGTGCCAGAGACTGCTCAAATCACGTAAAATGAGAGCTGAAATGTTTCCTTTGAATTTAACAGTACAGAGGTCATTGGTGACTGGGCCAGAGCAATTCCAGTAGGGAAGAGTGACTTGAATGGAAATCAGATTGCAGTGAGCAAAGTAGTAAATGGGAGGTGAGAAAGTACAGTCTGCAGGTGTAGATCAATTTCAAGGAACCAGGCAACAGAGACTAGAAACATGGACGGTAGCTGAAGAGGGACCAGCAATAAGCCTTTTAACATGGAGAGTAATAAATCATGCTTGAATGTTGCTCAGAGGGATCAGTTGAGCAGGAACACAGGCGGAGTGCTGAAGGTCCTTGGATGGGATCCAGAGCAGATGCAATGGGGATATTAGCCTTTGGGGAGGAGAGGTAAGGAGGATATACCACGGTGTCTGGAGATTTGGTGGTGAAAATAGAGCAGCACCCATTTTTCAATGAATTGTGTGCTCAAGGTTATTACCTGAAAATTAGCTGATAAAGTGAATGTTATGTATAGCAGGCATGCCTAGGGAAATCTTTTTCTTTCTATGCTATTAAAGGCCCATATGAAGTACACAGATAAAAAGCACAGTTGAATATTACTTTTCTAATCTCACTGTACACAAGATACTGGTATTTTCATCCTTTAAACTCATGGGTTTTAAAAACGATACTCAGACCACTCAGTAACCTGCAGGCTCCTTGAGTGGGATCAAGTCTTTTTCTATCTACCTGGTACCCCAAGTTCCTAGGACTAAGCCTGTCACCTACTAGGCCTTCAACCATCTTTGATTTATAAGTGAAAGAGGAAATATCTATTTAGAAATGAAGAATTATATTTAGGTAAAAAATAGTTATAGCTGCTAAAATATATTAAAATTACTCAAACATTCTCCTGTTTTGTGAATAAGAATGCTTAGAAATGTTTTTGAGGTTATTTTATAAAAAACTGTAGCATATTTCTATTTGTTATACTTTAACCACTGTTTCCTATCAGGAACTGGAATAACGGTGTTAAAAAGATGGGTATCTTCTATTTATTTGGCACTTTTATCTTGAAGGAAGATATAACATCTTCAAGGAGCACTCAGTTGACTGTAATATCCAAATTCCTATTTTTTTCAGAAACTCATTTCTTGTGTGGGTTGTTTGGGTTACTTGCTTCCCTCTTTCAACTGCTAACAATTCTGTATCTCTTTCTCTTGCTTAAACCTCTGTAGAGGAAATGCAGGAGCTAGAACTGACAAAATTCAATAAGTCTCTTCATCTGTTGGTAATTCTGATGAAACAGTCACATGAAAAAGGCCAAAATAATGACTAAATGAAGGTAGGAGAAATCTGTGAGAATTACTTATTACCTTATTATAATCTGCTACCACAAACCTTTGGAGAACAAAGAGAGAGTCAATAACTTATGCATCGACTTAAGTATAAAGAATTTTGAAATCCTATCCCTCTTTTTACCTTTCTCTCTCTCTCCCTCAAATATACACACACGCACACACACACTCACACACACAAAATCAGCTATATACACATTAAATGATGTTATTCAAATAACAGTGCTAATGTAATGATTCTTACCATTTGCTATATAACCCGGTACGTACATAGCATGACTCCCTGGAATAGAGTAGCCTAGGGCGCTTATGCTGGGAGAGTGATTGACATGCACTTTCAAGCTATATCTACCATTTACAGCAAAGGAGAAAAAATACCTCGAGTAAATTCCATCATTTTTTATAACATCAGCACCTGTATGTATATATAAAAAAAAAAACACAAAACTCAATGTCACCATGTCATCACAGTTGATTACTAATATCTAATAAAATCATTAAAAAATAAGATTCTCTCCCCTTATTTTTCCCAATTTTATCATATGATGTGATGGTCATAACTATTTTTGATATTCTCAAGTGATTAAAAATATAATGGCTCCATAATTCCTCCCTGTGGTTCCTTAACATATGAAAAAATTATTTTCTAATGGTGAGTGAGTTGTACCTGCTTCAGTGCTAAGAAAGCATTGAAAAAAATCACCTTTAGAAAAGAAATCAACAGAGACAAGAGGGAAGGCGGGGGGCAGGGAAAGGGAAGGGAAGGGGAAAGTCAAGGAACATATAGCAAGTACTCGTGGACAAAACCAAAGGGGAAGAGCTGAGGGAGGGAAGGTGGGAGGGGGCAAGGTAAAGAGGTGGGAGGAAGGCAGAGACAAATGTATTTAAAAAGTAAATAAATTAATTAAAAAAAAAAAGAAAGAAAAAAATCACCTTTAGAGCTCTCCTTCTTATCACTGAAAATAATACTAGTTTCCCACAGAAACCGAGCACATTCTTAAGCTTGTTTATAGTCATAGATCCTTTTAAGATAGAAGTGACCTGTTCCCCGGAAATAAATATACATGCACATATATGTTTTCACATAATTTGAAGGGGTTTATGAATACTGTGAAGCCTTGGTAAGAAAAAAAAGACTCTTCATTAAAATAATCTTTGTAGTTGATTTTAAAAAGTATGAAATCATTTAATTTTTTTATTAGAGCATACATAGAACTGTTGTTCTAGATTAGAAGGGGCTCACTGACTTGGAATTTGGCAGGCTCTGGTTCCACCCATTGTGCCTTGTTCATGAATGGCAGGAAGACCCAGACTCCGGGGCGGCAGGGAGGTGCAGCTTAGCCCAAGCATAGGTTGCCCTCACTGTCCAAGTGCAGCTGGCTTCACTGGGCGCCAGCTTGTCCTGCCCTCCTACCCTACTCCCAGCCCTGACTCTGGCACTGTGTCGTCACTAAAGCGCGTGTTCTAGCCCCTATGGCAGAGGCAGGGTTGCTCCTTAATGTGAGAAAAGTAAGAGTATATTTAATTAAGATAAAAAGTGCTAAGCCACTCATGATCATAGTAGGTTTAGAGATTGCTTTCCTGTACTGGAAAGAAATCAAATCTCGATATTTAGTGATTTAATGATGACTAAGGTCTATCTTTGTTGAGAAACAATGATGGAAAATTTCCCCATGCCGTGGTTTATTCATTAATTTTATTTAGCAGATAAATACCATTTTTAATATAAAAATAAGTATTAGATAATACCTGTGTGCTAAATATTGGGGAGGATCTAAATGTATACATTAATGCCTAAATAATCTTTTTCATTGTTTCTTTCATTAGAGTATAAATTTAGATATCAAATGCAATCATTCTAGGGAATAAATATTAAAGCCTATTGAATCTATTCAAACAATCTTCCCTAAGATAACTTTATCTGTTTTCCTATAGACCAGACTACAGGCTGGGGCAAAGTGGGAACATTCTGCAAAGTGCATTTTTGGACTTTACACAAGAAATGAACAGCTGTGGCTATAGATAAGCAGTCAAGAGTATGGGAGTTCATTTGGATCCATCCCAATAGACAAAACAAGAGGCCTTCTCTGGTATCCTTCTGAAGTAGACTTGAGTTAAAATCCTTTTGTTTCATAAATGTCATACAAAATTGCCATGGCAAGTTACTAATGGGTTTGCCAAAATTAAGACTCTGAAAAATTCTATTTTTGAAACAACAGAGGAAGGAATATGATTTTATTAGTAGATCAGACACTTTGGGCTGCTACCTTAGACTTTGTTGAGGTCTACTGTCATTCTGAGAATTTAGTTTAGAAAAATAACAAAACAGGAAAGATAAAACAACAAAGGGGTTTGTTTTTAGAAGTCAAAAAAGTTAGCCAGAAAGAGCTGAGATGCTGCTGTTTGCTGGCTTGATGCTGTGCTACCTAGGCTGCGTGACGAGGAAGCTCTGAACTCTTTCTCCACGTGCAGAATGAGTGTGTTAAAGTAGGGTTTTGTCTTGTTTTACTTTATTTGCCCAGTGGTAGGAAAGTCTCTATCCCTGTTCTACTAGGTTTGCTGGTTCAGTCTTGCTGTGACCAAAATCACATCTGTAAAAGGCACTGGCTATGCCCTCTTATCCACCCAGATGCTTGTCTAGAGAAAGCCTGGGGTCATCTTGTGGGTCACAATTTCAATTTCCAGTTCTCTTCACAATTGGGTTCGAGGTGGAAAAAAACGGGTTCACTGTCACTGAATGCCCCTTCTTGGGTTTCCATTTGCTATTTTAATTGTTCAATCTGATAATTTCAGTGAATAGTAAATCTAGTGAGCCTTAGCAGAACACGGGCATTTCCTAATAACATAGAACCTGTTCCTGTTTGACCTCAATAAGTGTCGCTGAACAAGTGGAAGCCAAGCTCTAGTGACTTTCTCCCACCACTCTGCTCCCACATGGCCTCTCTGAGGAGCCTCATGGATAATCTCTTTTTCCAAGTTCACATTTGTTTTCCTTGTGCAGATGCGACCTGTAGCTACTTTGTGTATCAGTGTTTCTATGAGAATTTGAGAATCTCTTAAGATTGGATGAGAAAAATAACTGAATTGAAAAAACATTAAAAATAAGCTTCCTATTGATACTGCAGCATCACAACAGCCTTGAGAACATGAAAAATGACATGACATTACTTGTTACCTGCTCCATCATCAAAAAGTTTCAGTGTAACAGGATCTTCAGTCTCTGGCTCAATAGTAGCAGTTACCAAAGCATTGAGAATGGGAAAAAACCCTTTTCTCACATTTGCATAAATCATCATGGGATGGGGAAAATGGGTGTTTTCTTTTTCTACAAAGGCTTCCACAGTAGCAGGAGGCTGGGCTGGGCGGGATGCACCAGAAGTCACTGTCACTTTCAAGGCTTGAAGAGAATGGTGGGTATTGTTCAGTGTGTAAGTCCAGAGCCCAGGCTGCAAAACAAAGGTCTTCTGTTTTGTCGAGTATGAAGATAAGCCCTTAATTTCAAAGCGTAAATCTAAGCTCCTAGGGTTTTTTAATTCTTGTTTTTTTGATGCTGCATTTTCTAAAATACTACAAAAGAATGTCAAGAATAGTAATACTGCTTGAGGGATACCCAAATTCAGTATTTACATGGCACTCACAGTATAACCCACTTGCATTGTTAGGTACCTCTTTAGGGAATTATACCCTGAATTTATTTGTGGGGAAGGACACATCTTGAGCCACATTTTAGAACATGATGATGAGTGTTTCAAAGCTTCAAAGTACTATGCAAATATTAATCTGAGCCCCTTCACCCAAAAGGAGATTCAATGTTTATACTCCTTTTATACAATGAGAAGGTTACAGGATATTAAGGGGGCAATTATGACTTACAAGAATACACTTTTCTAAAGGCAACAGCATCCTACCTTTCCTCCACTTCCCCCAAACCTTCCGTGTACTCAGAAATCTCAAGCAACAAAACCCGCATACACTATTAGGGACAAAGAAAAGGAGCACTTTTTTTAAATTGATCAGGCTTCTACAATGTCTATGTTGAGTAATTTGTAGAAATATTGCTAAATGTCATTCTCTTTTGCCTGTCTAGACTGCCTGGGGAGAAACCTGCAAATTACTGTCTAAAAGAAAAAAGCTAAATTACAATGTGGCAGAAATTTGTTCTTTTGATTTAACTGTGCATAAATACTCCTTTTTTCCTCTTTGCTGCTGCTCCTTAAACCCTGGAAGTAACAGAAGGAACACAATTGAGTAGGAGAAAGAAGAGAGCAAAATAATGGGTTAGGGTGTGACTCAGTGTGGAAAGTAAGATGCCAACACACCTTACCCAGAACTCTTTGTTGGGGTGCATGTGCTTTACCATTTTCTGGTGAAGTCACAATTCAAGCATCAAGATCATTTATCTATCTATCATCATCTATCTATCTATCTATCTATCTCTATTGTAATGATAACATTAGTAACAGACACATGGCAGGAACCTGTACAACAGAAATTCCTCTTTGGGTGTGATGAGTGCTTTGATATAGGGCACCTAATCCAGACGAAGAGTTAGGAAAAAGCAGTGAGAAGTAGATAAAGTGCTCTGGGCCCTTGTGCACAGGTATGTAAAGAACATGATGAGTTTGGAGGAAAGTTAAGTAGGAGCATAAAAGTTAAGTTAAACATACGTTGCTTGGGAGAGGGGTTAAGTCATAAGCTTGGGCAGAAGCCAGAATAAGAGTAACCACATGGATTTTATCCTGAGACCACCAAAAAGTTTTGAATAGGAGGCAACTTTGATCTGATTTATACTTCGGAAGGATCATCGGATAGAAGTGATGAATGGATGGGAAGGATGCTAGCCCAGAGAGCAGAGGCTGTCAAGCTGATCTGGGAGGACCAAGGGCCACCAGTGCTGAGGAGGGACTGCATTCAGTCAGTGGAACGGTGGATCTGTCCAATCCACCGCCCTGCTTAGAACCTTTAGTGGTTTCCCTTTACCTTTAGGATTCAAACTCCTACTCCCTTTACTACCATACGAAGCCCTTGCTGACATGGGTTCTGTTTATCTGTCCAGCCTCATCAATCCCTCCACTTTTCTTCCCCTAAATCTCCACCTAACTTGCTACTCAGTAGTTCATCCATATTGAACTACTTGTTGTCTATGAAGAGCCATATTTTATTCCTCTGAGTCTTTCTGTGTGTTGTTCACTCTGTTCGGCATGTCATTCACACCTTTATCCCCTTTATCCTTCATATTTCCATTTTTGTATTTTCACTTCCAGGTATCATCTTCCTTCCCACGCCTACTTCCCATCCCATCTGCATATCCCTCCTGTATGCTCTGAGTACCTTGTTCTTATCCTTACCATGGCATTTTATTATGAAGCCACTAAAACAGGACTCAGCACATAGTAGGTGCTAAAAAACATAGGTATTGTATGTATTCATAAATTTTAAGCAGAAGATTTTTCTAAGTATATAGGTGAGTATGTCATATGGATTTTGTAAAGAAGTAAACAAAAATTTTATCTTTATTACATAAATACTAATTTCCACTATTAAAGTTTTAAACGTACATTAGTTGTTTCCCTTAAATTTGTAACATTCACAAAATGCCCTCATAAATTTAGAGTAAAACTTCGATATGTCAAAATAAGATTTCCTTTACACAATGCATTTAATTTCATAATTCAACTGAAAGTCATTCACTTGACTAAATGCATCATTACGCACAAGCTCAGGACACCTACCTTCGCAGTTCCTGGAATATGGAGGCGAGCAGTCCTCAAAGCTCGGTTGATGATAAAATTGTGTGCGTAGTACTTTCTTCCATTAGGATCAAACAGTACAATCTCAGGGGGCCCCCTGGTCTGCCATGTGACTAGAAAGGTAGTATCATTGCCCACGCTGTTATCCACAGTCACAGTGTTTTTCAGCTGATGGTGAGGTTTAACATTCTCACCCATACTTTGAAGCTGTTCAAGAGAATATATGTACATGAGAGTGTCTAGTGTATGCATAGTCATTCCATGTTTTTCTTTACTTTTGTGAAAAAGAAAAATGAATTGTCAAAAACTCATTTAATTCTGATGTATTATATTTAGATAAATCATTTTTCATATAGAATACATTGCCAAAGCAAAACATAGTGTATTATATAAGTACAGCAGGTATGAAATATTGTGTTATAGTTAATCCAAGTGTCACTTCAACAGCTTTTAATCATTGTGTATTCACAATGGATACAAGTCTGTAAATAACTTTGAAGAATTATATTTATTAAATAAATATATTTGTAACACTTTGTAAAACTGCTCAGACTTGGAAAGCATTTACAATTTTGTCAGTGGATGACAGCAAAGACAGTGTGGGCTATTTTCTAAAATCAATTTAACAAGTGTTTGTGGACTGCTGACCACTGTGCCACGTTGCATGCTCGGACCGGAACTCTTGTAGGGGTTTAGGTGGAATTTCTGCCCACAGCCTAGCAGTGCTAACGACATAAAAACAAGCAGGGGAGGAGGCCACGTTTGGGAACATAAGGTGAATTTGAATAATGTGAATAATATTGTGCTACTTTTTTAAAACATTTGTTTTTATTTGATATTATTGAAGAGAAATCATAGGGTAGAAAGAGCATTCAGAAAGCCAGTCGTAGTCCAATCTGTAAGGCACTTTGTCATTTATAATTCACCTTTTCTCACTTCTAATCATGGAATTATGGCTATTAGCTTTACTGTGTATATATAATCTTCATGTTAAAAATTTCCTAGGACTAATTTACTGACTTCATTGTTCACATGACGCCATTAACTTGGCAGGTTCATTTACCATCTGTGAGGAAATAGCAAATGAAATTTTGTTCAGTTATGTTCAAAATATCTTCAAACTGCTTACAAGGAAAATTTGACCCTTTTAAAAAATGGCTTGATTAGAGGAAGCTTTTGTGAACAAAATCAAGTAAATTTTGGTCATTAAAGAGATGTTTAGGAATTTTTAGAATTTATGAAATAGCTGGTACTTTTTCTATGCCAGAGGTGCTTCAAAGAAGCTCTTGAATAAGCTAAAGTAAAATGGATTCTGATTTATGGAAAGTTACTATGGAACTAAAACTAAATACACAGTTTCTTATTTTTCTTCTAGGCCTTGTCCCCACCTACCCCAGTTTTGAGCCATGAGCAAGGAGCAAGCGCTGCTTATAGACCTTGAAAAGCTGAAGTAGCAATGAACCAAAAATGACTCCTATGGTTGAGAAGTACAGACATCAGGTAAAAAAGAAGCCTGGCTCTCGCAATGCCAAGAAGCTCATTACATATTCAAATAAGATGTGTGAGACAGTTAATACAATTCACCTACTTTCCTAGCTTCCTTCCCACCACACCCTCAACTCCAACTGTAAGCACAACATTAAGGAAATTCTGACCTGAATACGTTGTTGCAAAATGTCTCCAGTTCCAGAGGAAATTCTACCGAAAGCATCAATCATGCTATTGGAGTTTGATATATCTGGAACAAAGAACTTCAAACCTCCTGAAATACATGATTTGGATGTTAACTATTAAGATGTATAAAAGAAAACAAAAGTAAAAGTTGGGCCTTTTTCAACAAACTTTCTTTGCATAGAAGGGTTACTTTGGGAGAAATAGGAGCTGAGTCTGGTTTGCTCTGCAGGGCACCCTCACAGCCGCGCAGCGGGCTGCTCCGAGGGGCAGCTTTGTCTCTTCTTATTCACAGCTGTAATGTTAGGGTCTAGAACTCTATTCCACATACATAAAACTCAATAAATATATATTTACTTGTCTTGTAATGAATATAATTCCTGGATAATCTAGGTTAATTGAGATCTACATTGCTATATATTTCTATTTACATTCTGAAACCATTATTTTAAAAAATAATTTCATAAAACCTAATTTACAGTTTTCAAGTCAGCACACCCATTTTTATTGAATATAAAGAATATAATATTATTCTGTGCCTCATTTAGAACAAAAAAATATGTAGCTTACAATACTGTATGTGTCCTTGTCATAGAAGTTAAGTCATTTAAACTTAAATATATTTTTTAGCTTCATGATTAACAGTTTAACAAAAAAGTTATTAAAAAATAATACTTTCATTGGATGTATATAACTTTTATCCCTTAAGTAAAATGTAAAAAAATCAGCAATATTTAGGCAAATTATAGCAATGATTTTTTATGTTCTTCTTTCTTAAGAAAACAGTTTATTTTTTTCAACTTAGCCACATGTTCTGTTGACATAATCTGGTTTCACAGCTGTGCTTTGAATATTCCAACTGAAAAGAAATGCTCTAAAATATAAGTTTTTAGAAATGTATTTACCTGTAAGACGTGCTAATTCCTCCAGGTTTTTGTCAGCAGATGAACCCAGGGCAATGGTGTGGATGGTTGAACCACTGCTGAGCACAGTGAGTAAGCAATTGCTGATATTCTCATCCTTTCCACTAGTTGCTAATATCATCACAGAGCCATAGGCTTTTCCATTCAGTTTCTCAGCCACCTGCACATGGAGTATCGGTCATTCAGAAGGAAACATAATTCAAATTGTCTTATTGAGCAGAAGAATTCACTCTTAAATTCCCCGCCAGTGAGGCACGTGCCTCTTTGAGGGCCTCTGTAGCGCCCCGCACTACCCTTCCACCTCCATTCTGTCTCCACCCCACCCCACGACAGCACTTGTCATCCTACATGCCATTGCCTGTTCGCCTGTGGACAGGGACTCCTTCCTTTCCAGTCACCATGATATGCCACTAGTTTAGAGTAGATCCTTCATGGAAGACATGCGGGAGCATTACTGTGCGCGAGCTGGCCTCCGCAATCCAGTGAATGGCCGACAAGGGCCCTAGAACAGTGGTTCTCAACTATGGCTACACTTTAGAATCAGATGGGGAACTCGAAATCTTTTGGTGGCCAGGCCATGCTCCTGATCAATTAACAGGCTCTCTGGGGAAGAGGCCTTGCCATCAGACTTTTTTAATTTCCAGGCGATTTCAGTGGGCAGCCAGGGTTGAGCAACACTCGCCTATAGGCAGCAACAATGGCATTTGATGTTTCGCTTGCTACTAGATATTTGACTGATGGCTGCATCCGAGATACTGAATCCAAACTTATGTTACTTTAGATGAAGTCTATCATTCCTAAAATATGCCTCTGGCCTTGAGTCTCATATGCTTGAGGTCTGCTATGAATATAGGCAGGAACCAGACATGCTGATTTTGACTGGAAAACCCAAGAGGAACAATTGGCCACAGCTGGAATAGTTCCAGAATTGATAGGGACAGTTTCAGGAGGGGTCCAGACAATACTAAAGTCTCTCAGCCTGGGCCATTGTTTTCATTTATTTACTCATTCCTTCAATAAGCAACTCTTACACGTCAAGTACTTTGTTAAGCACAGGGGATACAATAGTGAACAAGATATGGTTCCTGACCTTAAAGATAATTCATCTTTACTGTCCTATAGTTGAGGCTGTTTAGGGCCACAATATAATGGATGGCCCTAATTCAGAAGCAATTCAGGTTAAAAGTGAGGAAAAGGAAAGTGATAGTGATCCAAAGCTTGAGGTACTGTACCTCAAATCCCCTCTTAAGCCCTGAGCAGAAGCTGGTTTCTGCTTCAGCTGAGACAGTGGCAGGCAGATATGAAACCAGCAGCTTTCGGTCATCATCATTGTTAATCTGGTGTAGCTGGGCTCTGATCTCTCCTTTGCTGTTGAAACTGACAATGCCCACAAAGGTATGAATTTCAACAATCTGCATCAAGTAAAATTCTGCTGCTTGTTGCAGGCGAAGGAGTCTGTCAGCCTACGTCCCAAAAAGGAAAAAAGGTAACAATGTATGGGTGGTAGACAAAAATGTGACTAAGTAAACTAATAAGTAAATATCGCTGCTAATTCTGTAGGATTTTGATTTGTAATTTTTTAAGTTGTAAAGAGTGACACAATGCTAGAATATTGTTTGATTCACTGCAGACTGAAAAATGAATGTTTTTCTGGGAGTGGTTTGGAATTCTGTCCCCAACAAGCTGTTCATAATGACCATTCTCCAAGAACACATATCCTCATTATTTCTTTCCAACTCAAAACTCAAATATCTATAGCACCATTTAATACTAGATTTGTAGCTTCTTCTTTTAAAATTCAGTCTGGTTAAGAGGAGATATTGCAAAGAGAATTATGGTGGAGAGTAGCAGTCAGAAGAATCTATCCCGGCACTACCCTCTGTTATAATGGTCCTCTTAGGCTGGGTACTTCATCTGTAAAGTGGGGATAATAATATATTTCTTACTTACTAAAAAAGAATTGCTGTGTGGATCAGCTGAGATATATGTATGATAGTACAGTTACATGAACTAGTAACCAAGTATAAAGTAATAGTGACCCGTCTGGGGCAGGTGATGCTACTGATTGATTCGCTGGAGCCACTTGTATAGATCGTTATGGAGCAGCAAGCTGAGCTTCAGTGAAACCACGCGTTCAGCGATAACTGTGGTTTCCACCTAATACCCAGACATCTCTTTTACCACCTGTACCTGCATTTCACACTGCTTAGGAAATGTCACCCATTTAATGTCCCACAGGTAGCTCAAACTCTGTGTACTTGGACTTCATTGCCTCCTTTCCCAACTACTATTTCTCTTACAACATTGACAGGTAGAGTGAGTAAAACAAAGACTTTGAATCTTGCCTTTAATTTTGGCTAATTATGTGACCAGAGAGAAATTACTTATCTTTTTTAGCTTTAGTTTTCTGCAAAATGGATACCTAGTAAGCACTTAATAGGTAGTAGCTATGGTTCACATTGGGTCATCAAGCCATCATTCTCAGCTATGGTCTCTACTCCCAAACAGTAAAGCCAGAAACCCGGAACTCTCATTACTCCTTGTTACCAGCCCCCAGGTTCTGTCAACTCAATGTCTTCAGTTTCTCCCAACTTCATACCATACCTCCCTCTTATCTGCCACTTCCTTAGAGCCACCCCATGTTATAGCCATACCAATTGATGTACTTTCCCTGAGCAAATCCTTCTAATTTTCCCTCTCAGTCACTGCACATACTCTTCCCCACCCTGGAATGTCCTCCTTTTACTTCTCTCACCTCACTTAACCTAGCGGGCGCTTTCTCATCCTTCAACGTTCAACTCCATGTTCATTCTCTTAGTGAAGTCTTCCTCAACCACTTTCTTCTACAGAATTAGATGCTGCCTCACAACTCTGTGGACCTTTGTCACACCCAATTGTACTTATTCACACATGTGTGTCATGTCTCCCTCAATAGGCTGTATTTCAAATCAAAGGCCCTATTCTGTCATTTCTATATCCCTTAAGCCAGCACCTGACAAGTAAATGAGTGGCTGCGATGGTTCAATGACAGTATTGTCCAGAAAAATCCGGAGGGAAGCTGGCTTTGCCGTGAGTGTGTTACTTCAGACTTATTTCTCTTTGCTTCTTTCAGGTTCTCTCTCAAGTGCAACAATCTTCCCCTTTCACTAAATCCATGCTTGCTCAACAAAGGCAGATAGCTGGTATAAATTACCCTGAGCCCATACTTGAGAAGATTGTGCCCTAGTCAACTACAGGTACTATAAAATTACCCAGAAGCTGAATGTATTAGTGGTGTTCCTAATATTTCAGAGATGTGCCAAAAATGGCAAATTTTCCAGAACTACTCATTCAGACAATAAAAGAGAATAAACTCTCTCTTAAGACAAGTACTATAATAAAATAATAGCTACCACTTATGAACCAAAAACTTCATGTTCATTATCTCATTTATTTCCCCTAAATGACCCTATGAAGTAGACAGTGGTGTGTTGGTAAGTGTTTAAAAACTTGCTTTGTGGTGTGTTTGTGTGTGGGAGGGGCAGGAGGGTGGATGGAGGGGGAGGGGGGAGAGAGAGGAAAGTTCTGATTCATTTCAGCTGACAGTTTCTGTGGAGTAAATACTCCCATCCAGGCTAATTTCAAGCTGTCAATGTCATGGTACTGGATGCACAGTTGGGAAGAGGTATATAGCAGACCCAAAGAGATATGAGACCATGAATAACCTCAAGAGCATAGATCCGGAATCAACGAACATTTTCTCTAAAAAGGTAGATAGTAAATGTTTTAGGCTTGGTGGGCCATATGTTCTCTGTTGCTACTACTCAGCTCTGCTTTTTTAGCCTTAAAGTGGCCACAGATAATATGTAAGCCAATGAGCATTGTTGTGTTCCAACAAAATGTATTATGGACACTGAAAGTTGAATTTTCATATAATTTTCACACGTAAAGAAATATTACTTTCTTGATTTTTTTCCTAAACCATTTCAAAAGTAAACTCATTCTGAGCTTGTGGGCTAGGAAAAAATAGGTATAGGACCAAACTTGGCCCATTGGGCTGTAATTTACTGACGCAGGAAATAGTAAAAAATAGTAGAAAAGCAATTAGGAAATGGTGAGTTTTGAGGATTTTAAATTATTTTAACACATTTATTTAATTATAAGTCTAAATAATTCAATAATAGCCATGTTTAACAATTGGATTGCAGATTTCCTAAAAATCTAGCAATTGACTCCTGTGAGCATGTATGAGCTGGTTCTGTCACAACGCTGAAAGTGGGTATGAATACAGATCCCTGTGTTATAGATGAGGAAACGGAGCTTTAGAGAAGTTACTTTGCTCTTGAGTACACAAACAGTAAGAAAAGAAGCCAGGACTGAAAGCGTATCTGCTTGGTTTCAGAGATTAAGACTTTAACCACTGTCGGAAAGTTTTGGAGCTTTGGAGAGTGGGGCTTCTGGAAGTTTTCTAGATTGTCAAATAACTGACACATGGTTTTCTGTCCACAGTGACACGGACAATATACAGATAATTGATATGCACATTTGCAGCAAATTCGGTCTTTTGTGTCTGCCAGGGATCTTTACTCGTGAGTGGAATGTGGCCAGAGAGATTTTATTACATATGAGTTTTGGAATAGGGTCTTGGTTGGAAAATGTTGCAATTAGTAATAAAAGTGAAGATTAGGAATAACCTGTGTTTCCCATTTATCTGCATTATCTCAGTTTCTGGGCCACATTCTGAATTTGTTCCTCTTATCCCTAAGAGAAGATGCTGTTTATGACTATTAAGAAACTTTGGCCTCTCCCTCATCTGCTCTTAGTCTCTGAAAATAAAAATAATTAAAAACTGATAGAAAAAATGATGAATATTTTACAACCATTGTGGTTTAAAATGTTACCTCTGCCATCTTGCTGGACACATCCAGCACTAAACAGACCACTTTATCCCCAGCCTGTACAAGGAAGAACGTGGGGGGAGGCGGAAGCTCAGTCCCATTCATGGGAAAGCTGTGAGTAAAGTCACTGGAGTCTGCAACTACATCCCACGTACTTCTGAGGCTGCACATTTGGTTCTGTAGGTTTGGAGCTTCTTGGTTGTGGGTGCTTGCATTGCAGAATTCAACCACCTGGAAAAAGAACAAAGCTTATTAGATAATAGAGGCTCTCTGGCATGCAAGACTTATGGTTCTTGCTCAAGCAACTGAAGGTAAAAGGAAAGGTGAGCTGAAATATTGGAAATAAAGAGTGCCACAGCAATGTCCTCCTTTCCTTCAAGAGTGACATCAAATTTACACCTTTGGCACCCTTTGCTTGAAACAGTGGCACCCTTGTGGTACCAAGGTCAAGATCTGTTAAAGTATATTTGCACTTGGATAACAGAGAGCAGACTATGTATGCACATCTTAATCTTAACAAAACAAAACAACCTCCCACTTTCCTTAGCATGATATCGTGTTAAAGAAAACACCCTAGGAGATGTTATCTTGGTCAGCTTATATCTTGAATGACCACTGCACCTTTATTAATCAGTTAACATATATTGATCTAGTTCAAATATTAGTCTCTTCAAGAACCAGGTAAGGAGAAAACCAACTTAAATCTACTTCCTGATCTTTTTCCTTATATGGAAATATAGACAAAATTCATTTAATAATATTAAACCTCTGTCAACACCCCTTTTAATATTATGGTTTGTATTTTAAAGCAATGTGTTACCGTCTATTCCCATGGCTATATTCCTACAAAGAATGGATATTCCTGTTAACAGTACCAGGTGCTTAGAGCTAGAAAAATCTCCTAGTCCCATCTCTAATTTCATGGAGGAGAAAACTGAAGCTTCAAAGGTTAATAATTGCTTAGGGACACAGTTCTTTTAGTAGGGTGTGAAAACAGGAGTAGAACCAGGTTTATTCATTACTTGTTTTTAACTCCTTTATGTTTAATGACTATGGTTAGGATATTGTAAAGCTTATCTGACTGGGAATTAATACGTAGGTTTTTCAAAGGATCATAAGGACAGTACCTAATCACAATCAATGAGGATGAACTACATGTTGGGTTAGTGCCAGGAATTAAGGTTATAAATTAAAAACATAATGGCTCAGACTAGAAATAAGAAATATCACTTCAAATTGATGGAATGACTCCTACTCTTGACTGAAACTAGACTGAAGAAAAAAGTTATCTAAAAAAAGAATGTGTCAGTCCAAGGGGCATTGGTCAGCTGTGGGAACGGACACCTTCACAGAAGCATGTGTCCACAGGGCTTTAAGCACCACAGAGCAGAGGTGACTCACAGACCTGACCTTCAGGTTTGTGTGAAGATGAATAGATACATCTGGTCATGAAGGCTAGTGCCACTAAGCCTCTGTGTCATCTAACCCTTGCCTTTCTGATTGCATGCTCTCAGAGCAGGCTTCTTGTAAGAACTTGACTCTTCCATGCTGCTTCCTTTAGAGACAAAATGAACTGACTTAAGGAGGCAAGTATTGGATCCCCATGGCAGAGTCCTCTTCATAATTAATAATTTCTAAAATGGCATTCCAGATTTATATACTAGCCTCTTGCCAATTAGTGTGGAATGATGACAAGGTTGAGTTTCTGAACCTGCATATGTAAGGATTGGTTTATTTCCCTTAGTAGCACCTGACTTTTCTTCTTAAGTTCTAGACTATGCAGAACAAGGGAAAGCAAATTGGAAAGTGCAATTAAAATAGGAATGAATTGCTACCTCAAATGAAAGAAACAGTCATGTGTTATATCATTCATTAACCCAGTATACTTTCCTATGAAAAAATACAAGAACACTACCATATGGGCAATTTATTTTGAGATTTATAGGGCTCTTGTTGTTAAATCACCTTCCCAGGAAAGGAAATAATCATGTTTCCTAAGGAATCTACTTTTGGTCATCGTCTTTGGTGCCTTAGTTATTTTTTAATCTGTAAAATAAAAACTAGATGAACTTCAAGGTCCCCCAAGCTCTAAAACATAGTGAATCTTTTGTGTTTTTTTAAATACTTAAAACAAATCAGTCTATCTTAGGAAGAGATGGAATCTTGAAAGAGTTCTTCATTCCAAGGCCATACTCACAGAAGATAAACTTTGCATGAACATTATTGATGTTGCTGAGTTTTGAGTTCTATTGTATATAAACATGCATCCTTCTTGGAAGAGCTTACTAATAATACAGTTTTCTTGGGGACAAGGGCCTTTTTCACACACAAACATGCCTGTGATGTCAGAAGAACACCTAAAAATAGAAAGAAAAATTAGATCTATTTTAAAAATACTTGTGTTTTTTCTCTATTATCTCATATGATAATCAGTTGCAAAGATTGCAGGTTGCTAGAAACATAAAACATTTTAAAAACTATTAATCATCAATTTATAAATGGACTCCATTTTAAAGTTTTTTTCTTGATGAGAGGCTCTGTATTGCTAAGAGCTTTACCAACTAAACACAGTCAAAGCAAAAGTTACTGTGAGGTCAACATGACCTTTTGGACATACAAGGAAGAGCGTGAGAAGCAGTATCCTAAGTCAGGGCTCCTTTGAGCTCATTGCCATTGGACATCAGAGGAAGAAGCAGATGGACACATGATAATGTTATTTAAAAGGATTCCTTTCTAAATAGGTAATCTCAAGTTGTTGAGGGGAGCAAAAAATATGCAACTTTTAGGAGAGGAATCAGTTAATATCTACCGAAATTACAAGCAAGAATACCCTTTGACTCCATAATTCTTGGAAGTTATTTAAAAGATATACAGACATGCCTGCATACATGAGAAATGGCATATATATCTTCTATAGTCCTATTAGTGGTAAAAGATTGGGAATGATCCACTTGTACAACAATAGGGGAGGGATTGAAAAATTATGTTACATCCACACAATGAGACACTATATACAAGTATTTTAAAAAGAGTGAGGAAAAATAGCCCTATGGCTCACTGGACTGAGTGCTGGCCTGCGAACCAAAGGGTCATCTGTTGGATTCCCTGTGTAGGGCACATGCCTGGGTTGCAGGCCAGGTCCCCAGCAGGGGGTGCTTGAGAAGCAACCACACATTGATGTTTCTCTTCCTCCCTTTCTCCCACCCTTTCCCTTTCTAAAAATAAATAAATAAAACCTTTTTAAAAAATAAAGAGTGAGGAAAAATACACATTTTAAAAACTTGCCTACAGAAATTCTGAAAAAAGAAAGAAGAAACTAATAAAAATGGCTAATGAGAGGGAATGAGAGGGTACAACGTAAAGAGAGTGGTGGGAACAAGATACCTAAGAATAACTTCTTGATATTTGAATAACATGAGCACTACACTACAAAGCTGAACACTGTCAATGAAGTTTTGCTGCCATTTTAAACTTAATTTTAGAGTAAAAAAATAAACTGAAGTTTTAGTATGAGAAAGTTACTAACCTTGTTACTTTAATTTGATTTTGCCCGTTGATGTAGAAAGGTTTCTCATTGTTATATTCATCAAACACACCCCAACGGAGATGCGCCCATTCGTGGACAAACACTCTGCCTGTGGAACAGAGAGCTTTTATTTTGAATTCCTAAACTCTCAGCGATGGCCCTTGCTAATCAGTGAAGGTGTAACATTACTTGACTACACGTGCTCATTCTGAAGGGTTGAAGTACGATTCTCTCCTCCGCCTTTCCTCTTCCTCACCCCATTTTCATGACCTTCTATGTTACCCCCATCATCATAAAAGAGAGTGAAAGAATATTTAGTCCCATAAATGCAAACCAGTGATTTACTTTTTGCACATCTATTTAAAATTAGCGAGGAGTCCCACATCCTCTCATTTTCTCAGTGAAACTGCCTAACAGTCTTCTATTTATTTGTTTCACATAGCGTATAATGTCAAGATTTGGGGAAAAAGAGAGAAACACATTTAAGTGCAATGAACTGAATATTAATGTATCTGTAAAATTCAGATGTTGAAATCCTAAGCCCCCATGTGATGGTATTAGGAGGTGGGGCTTTTAGGGGTGATTAGGTCATGAGATTTGTGATTAGTGACTTTATAAAAGAAACTCCAGAGAGCTCCTTTCCTCTTTCTTCCAGGTGAGGACACAATGAGAAGATGGCTGTTTAGGTACCAGGAAGTAGGCCTAACTGGCCGCCAGATCTGCCAGTGCCACAGTCTCCAGAACTGTGGGAAATAAATTTCTGCTGTTTATAAGCCACCCTGTTTATGATATTTGGTTATAGGAGCCCAGACAAACTAAGATAATAAGGAAGTAAAAATTTCTTATTCTTCAGTCTGAATTATCTGAGCATTTTTTTTTTTTTTTGGTAAGTGACTCTACTATCCAGAACAGTGATTGAAACCTTGGGGCCAGGGAGGGAGGAAGGAGCAAAAAAAATCATAGAACTTCCTCTCTAGCTTGGATGGTCCTTTCTTTTTTATTTTATCCTAATTCTTCACACTTATATTTATCTCCAACTCTTCGCTCATGGAAATCCTCACCCTTGGGATCAAATCCTTTGTAACTTTTTCTCTACCTTTCTAGATATTGCATATCCTTCAATGTTCAGATCAAAACTGACTTCTTCCTCCTTGATGCTTTCCAGATTAACTCCCCTTCTAAAGTGAGCTTTTTTTCTGACTTTTTTTAAAGTTATAAAAATCCAGGAAGTGTTTGCTAAGTTGACTCAGGCTGTGGCATTTTGTACAATTGTTGGACAAAAGAAGGGAGGGGACAGCCTAAACTGAAAATGTTTAGGAAGAGTTTATTCCTACTCATTGGAATTTAGGAGTGCTGATGAAGTTATATGGTCTTTTCTAAGTATTATTTATTGATTTTAGAGGGAGAGAGTAAGGGAAAGAGAAAGAGAGAGAGAGAACCATCGATATGTTATTCCACCATCCATGCATTCACTGGTTGTCTTCTATATGTGTCCTGGCGGGGGATCAAACTGACCGCCTTGGTGTATTGGGACGATGCTCTAACCAGCTGAGCTAGCTGTCCAGAGCCTGATGAAGTTATATGTTTATGCAGAGATTATCAGCAACTTACAGTTATGAGGAAAAACTCTTGAAAAGTTTTAAGTGTCTTATAAAGTGTATTTTATAGAGTGTATTGCTCCAATCTCTGCTAGCTATAAAGAAGATAACAGAATCTATTTACATTTCATTGGGGATATTCATGAAAATGTCATTTGGAGACACTACTGTATGTTATAAATCAAAAACAAAAAATTAAGAATGAGATGGTTAGTCCTTGACCTGCGGATTTCTCTTGCTATAGTTTCTCACTCAAATCTTGTCTACTAAATGCCAGTTTCCAAACCTAAGACCCCAACTACTCTCCTAAACTCCAGCCATCCGTGTTCAACCACAGGCTGAGCTTTTCCACCAACATAGTTCACTGCTCCTCACAATCAATTTACCTCAACCTGTACTTGTTGTGGGTTTCCCCTTTAAATCGGTTCCCTCTGTTTCTGCCAAAAACTCGGTCTTTCTTAATGCTGCCCGCACACATCCCCCTTGTCCCACATACTGTAGCAGTTCAGACCTCTGTTTCTCTTTTCCCCTTCTGGAATATCTCTCCTCACTTAGATTAGAGTTCTTAGGATTAAACAAGATAACATGAAAAGTAAACAGCATGGCACCTGGAACATAGAAAATTGCAGTTTCTCTCTCATCGATCTGAGGAAGCCAGGTTATCTATACAGCCTGGTTCATTATCTTAAAACCCTGTTTTAATGGTGGCATTCCTGCGCTTATACGCCTTCAATGGTGACTTGCTCACTTGGGCATTTGAAGCTCTCCATCGCTTACCCCTGTGTATATTTCAGCATTTTCTCCCGCTGCTTCACCAGCCACCATCACTCTGCCCCATTAATAGGGTCTACTGCTCATATCTCTCAAATAAGCTCTGAATTCTTCTGTTGGTATAAATTTACTTATATTATTTCCACTGTTTTTTCCCTTTTTCCCTTTTATCAAAATGCTATTCAACCTTGAAGCTCCCCTGTTTAATGAGGCCATTTCTGACCATCCTTAGCTCAAAATGTTTTCTCCTTTCACTAAATACTTATGGTACTCACTGCCTGGGCTATTGATTTGGTGCTTAACTCTCTCTGGCTCACTTTGTTCCACATCTTTTCCTGAGCATGTGGCCTATCATTCCATCCATATGGTAAGTCTTTGGCAAATTTCAGGTTCTCTGAGTCCTTTCTGCACTAAGCACAGAATATTTTAAACAGTACTGGCAAATGTCTATTTTTTGATTGGTCACACTTACCTCGTGATCCATAGCCAGCTGTTAAGTCATCATTCAGTAGAAAGTCAGGTGTGAAGTAAATGTACTTTCCCTCTTTTCCACACCCTCTATATTGCAGGGTATATGGATCCCCTCCACGGGTCCCATACCAGTCAGTCACTATAACATTCGCCTAAATTAAAAGAGATGCCTTGTAATACTCTGTATGTCAACTGTTATGGTGATGATATCAACATGTACATGTTAAACTACTTTGAACTGTATACTTAAGATCTGTATATTTTACTGTATAAATTTTATGCACATTTAAAAACAAATTTTTTTTAAAAAGAAATGCCTGGTAGATGGATTTCAAAATGCATTCACAAGTAAATATCAAAAATATCATTTGGCACTTTAAATTTTTAAAAGATCTATATTTTAAAAGTTTAGCAAATTTCCACAAAGCTTCACTCCTTCCAGTGGACCTCCTGATTCCCAGATTAAAAATTTCTCAAATTTCATGGAGTTACACCACTTTCAGACAGGGGTACAAGGTGGCGGCCCAGGAAAATGCCGAGCTCACCTCCTCCCAGGGACATGCATGCACAAAATCTATAGCTACATATGGATCGTGTCCCTCTAAGAAGATCTGCAAACTAGATAAACTGTTCCTCCATGGAAAAAAAAAAAAAGATAAAAGGACACATTGTGACGGATAGGAGAGGCAGAGACAAGCCCTTGCCCCCCAAACCGCACCTCCAACGCAGTGACACAGGATGAGGAGGGATCTCACGGGCTGGCGCTTCTCCTGGAGGAGAAGAGCTTCACATTGAACACCCCAGCCCTTGGGATCTGCACGGGAGAGACAAGCCCCCAACCTGTCTGGCTTATAAAACCATTGGGGCTGATGTCCAAGGGGCCCAAAGGGCCTAGAGGGAACTGAGATTCTTCTGTTAAAGGGCTCCTAGGAATTCTCATTTGCTTGGGGAAACAGCACAAAAGCAGAAGTTTGAAAAGCAGTTAGACTATATGTAAAGGGGATTCCTTACTAATCTTAAAAAAAACAAACAAACAAAAAAAAACATCTGCTGGCGGAGCAGAGGATAGCTGAAGCTGCCTCCAGACAGAGGCACTGGCAGATGCCTGGTGTGCGCTCCCCGCCTGCCCGGCTCCCACAGGTGAGTGACGCTGAGCCAGGATGCTGCACCCTCCCACTGCGTTGCTGGCACAGGCCGGGTGAGCGGTGGCCGCACTGTCCCACTGCCTCGCTGCAACGCTTTCTGCCTTCCTTCCTTATTGCCATGCTCCTCGAAAACGGTCCTAGACTTGGGGTAATGTGGAATTTTGCTGATTTTCCCTCTGGCAGGAGAAGACAATCATGTTTTTATATGCATGGGTGGCTTATGCTTCTGTCTGGACGTGTGTGTTTACTGCCCTGACAGGATGGGAAATAAAAATAGTCATAATTGGAATTGTTCCCTTTATAGCTCATACTCAGTACATAAAACTAGTTTTTGGTCTTTAATCAGAAATTTCAGGAAAGACAATCCTGTAATGTATAAAGTACAAAGATCTTCTAGAGGCTACCTGGGCAATGACATTTATTATTTTAGTACATAATTTGTACTTCTTTATTATATTTCTCTATATTTTGTGAATAACAGCCTTCCCAATAATATTATTTGCATGTTAATATCAGTGATTTGTTTTTGCTTAAGTTCTCACTTTTAAAGTTTGAACATAGTATATTTTGGTTGTTTTTTCCCCTTAAGCTCGTTTGATGAAACTCTGAATCCTCACCTTTTCATATGATTCTTGTTTTACTTTGCTGTAATTATTAGCTTTCCATGTGGCAGGTATTAAAATCGTTATATTTCTGAAAAACACTCTTCTCTTAGTAGCACTGAACAGGTAAAATGAAGCTTCAGTTATCATTTCCTATAACCGAATAAAAGAAAAGCTTATTTTATCATTGTAAATCCTGTATGTTTGGGTTTTCTGGTTACACTTGAATAAAGTAGTAATAAAAAATAATTAAAGTATTTTGAAGGAACCCATTTCTTTTAGACATAGCATTTGAATTTGAGAAAACTTAGGAACAAAATAATGGTTATTATTTTGGAACCCATTTCTTTTAGACACAGCATTAGAATTTGAGAAAATATTGGAACAAAATAACGGTTAAATGGTTATTTGGAAGAGGTTTTAGGACACTAATTATGTGTCTGGGCTTGCTTATATAATTTTTCCAATTTTGTAAAAGGCTTTTACCAGACAAATCGTTTTCATGCTGTACCTGTGGGCATGTTCAAAACCACACCTTATAATGCTACCAATTTCACAAAAGCATTTCCAAAAGGAGGCTCTTAAGTAATAGATCTATGATCCTTCCTTACTATCAGGTGAAAATAGTCAATCAGAGAACATTCAGGTAAAAAGAAAGACTCACTATTTCTGTCTGAGATTTCTCACCCTCAGGATGGAATCCAACAACATGATTTTCATAAGCACAATCATGCTTATTCATCAGTCAAACACCTGGTCTTTGTTGCCACAATGCTTTATTTTTTTAAGTTGCTAACCCCCAAAATAGTCATGTAGGAAAACAAAACCACTAACATTAGTAGTAATCAACAGCAAAAAATAAAAAGAGGACTAGATCAACAGTCTGTGAACTGAGACTACACAGAATTAGGTGAACACACTGGCTTGCCCATAATTATAATTTTTGGTGCAATTTTTAGGCAACACTGCTCTCTTTACTGCTCAAATTACAAATCAGACAGGCTTGAAATAATGGAATAATAATTTTGACTTCGTATTTCCCACTCACCTTAATATTTGGGATGAGGTTCTGATCCTCAGCTACCTGGGGATTGATTGCAACAAGTAATCCATCATACCCATTGTCTCGAAGCTGCACTTCGGCTCCCACGAATAGGAGTTCTGGACTGAGGGCCACCAGGAGGGTCACAATCTTCAGGCTGCAGACAGTACCAGCATTGTCCCTGTGGGTCATGTTGTAGAGGAGACTCTGGTTTACTCACACTGGTCCTCCTAGGTCCATTGTACCAGGTTGTCAAGGAGAAGCAGATAGTTAATTCTTGAACTTGGAAGGTCCTAGGACTTATGATGAAGGAGGTGCCTTCTTTGCAAAATCAGGGGTGGATCTATCTGAGACCTGCCTTTACAAGTCCTTTTTCTCTAGGCAATGCCACACATGCCTGTTCTGTGGCAGAGCTTTCTCCTGAATCATGGTTGAGCAATGAATCTTCCACCTCATTCTCATTTTATATTTCTTGAAAGGATGAGGAAAATAAGACAAATGAAGCTTGAAAGAGGGAGGCCTGGGTGGCTGGGCTGGAAACCAGAGAATCTGGAGTGTTCAACCTACTTTCAGGAGAAACATAGAAATCTATGGTGATTTTTCTCTCCTTATCCTTGACAGCATTATCCATCAGTCAGCTCAACTCCTTCCCTACTGCACTCAAGTCATATTTTGTTTGTTGTAAGATTCCCTAGTCTGGTTATTTTGAGTATTTCAAAATCCATCCTGCAGCCCTGTCCCTAGGGCCCTTGGGTCAGATAGTCTGGGCAGGCTCTTAGCTAATGGCTGGGGGGAAGGTATCAGGTATCCCCCAGGGAAGGCCAAATGCCAGGAACTTGGATGCCTGTGCCAGTCCCAGAGGCCTTTCCCTCTGCTCTTGCTGCCATGGAGCTGGGAAAGGGATGAATTTCTCTCTCAACAACTCTCTCCTGAAGGTGAAACTCTGCCGCAGTCAACCTTCCATTTCTCCAGCCCCTGTCACAGGATCTGGTATGGAGTAGGCCTCTCAAATATTTTATGAATGATTAATAATACCTAATAATTATGTGATGCTTTAGAGTTTACAAATGAACTCATTTAAATGTCAATCTCCTGATGCAAGAATAATTTTTTACTTCTGTTTTTTCAATGAAAACAAAGTCTCAGAAACATTTTGAAAATTAGCCAAGGGGGCAGGAAGTAACATTTACGTGTGATGTGTTTTATTATGCCTATATTTGGGTGACAAAACTAAGGCTCAGAAAATTTAAGTAACTTGTTCAAGGATATACAAGTGTTGTCATAGTCCAAGAATGAGACCAACTGACTTTAAATTCCATTTTTTTTGCTATATTATATTCTCAAGAAACTAGAAATGAAATGGTAAGAGCTGTAATACTGACAGGTATTGAAGGGTATTTTTCGGTTGCTGTCTCTTTGCTTGGAACCTCATCTCTCACTGCTTCTCACTTGCTTTCCCTTCAAATTCCAGTTCTGGTCGGAAGCCTGAGCTGAGCTCCCTAACTTCAAATCCCCTCTTTCATGCTTCTCCAGCATCAGATCCCTCTCCATTGAAGCATGGTTGTAATTACTATGTCATATCTATATTGTGCAATTGGTTATCTGCTTCCTGCTGAAGGGCATGTGAGAGAGGGGACCCCACCTGCTTTGATCACCTCCTCCTCCTCACCTAGCTCAGGAAAGTTGCAGTAAATATTTGTCGGATGGATATATGGAGTGACAAGAAGTAAATGAAAGCCAGGTTCCAAAGGAGCTATAAATTATAGTATGACAACATGCTTCCCACCCCAATTTTGACTGTACCCCATCTAGAAAGTATCTCTTTTGTTCTAGAATAGTTTCTCTCTTGCTCCCTCTTGACAGACAGCATGGTCATTACTGGTGCTCTGCTGGGTGTGGAGGAGAAGGAATGTCACTGGCCAATCACTTGGCTGCCAAAGATCCTCACTCTGCAGCTCCGGAGTTGGCTGAGCTCTCTTGTCTTCTGGGGCCAATTCCCAGCTATGGGTTTTTCCTGCTCGTTCTCACTGTGTCTACAGAACAGTAATCCAGAGGTGTGGCAACTCCAAAGGCCATGCCAGCAACTGTGACTCAGTGAGGGGAACAATGCACTTTATTTTCAATTTTGCTTGGCAGTGTATTTTCTTATGGCAATCTCTTGTGATTTTAAGAAAAACATTATTTCCATCGGCAAAGAAATATGCTTAAAAATTAAGCTCTAAGCTGCACTGTGAGAGTAGCTTTTTGCCAAGAATCAGGGAAGTTTCTTCTTGCCACCATGCATACTTGCATAAGTAGTTCACTGGTGAAGGGGTCTGTAAGGGCTCACATCCAGCGCTCTCTTCACTAGTTCTTATTGACAGTTACAATGGCTCCCTTAGAATGTGGGGGCAGAGAATGTTGACTACAGAGTGCATGCAGTTTTATAAAGAAGAGATGTACGTGAACAGTCTTGTTTAACTTCATCTGGGTTGAAACCTGGACAAGTTATTCAGGCTCTGCTTACCCTGGGCTGAGAGTCCAGGCACGACATTCATTCCTGTCTATCTGCTTTTTGCTTCCTTGGTTCTGGAACCCAATCACAAGGTCTGGCTACTTGACTGGATTCCACTTTCCTCACCTGCCCCTTATAGGACCTATTCTCTGACCGTGTCTTGGGACAGTCACACTCACTCCTGAAAGTCCGTTCCTCCCACCTCTGCTCTGACCTACCTTCAGAGACCTTTTTTTTGCTGTCAGCCACAAGCCTGTTGAAAATCTTTTCTTACTGCCTTCTCTTTTGGTCAGGCTGACGCTACAAGGGAAAACTGACTAAATGACTTGAAGTCATTTCTGAACAGTGTCCACTTCTGATAAAGTGTGACTTTGAGAAGAGAAAGAACAACTTATCCTTTCATTAAAAAATATTCACTGCTCATGTCTATAGATTTTATGATAGCTAAGAAATAAAATATGCCTGGAGTGAAAAAAAAATGGGAATACAATGTTCAAGCATTTATTTCAACGTTCTATAAACTATAGGAATCTGTTCTGCTTTTATCTGCTTTCAAGAAAATGAAAGTTATTCAATTTCAGTAACTAAAGAATCTAAAAGACATCTTTGTTCATTGTCTGATTGTACAGTTCAACCTGTCCCCAAAGGCTTCTCTGTCTATTTTTTTAGAGAGTCTGCTGGTAGAGACCCACAATCAGTGTGAATAAAAAATGCAGTTGATGTCAGAGAAGTCAGAAGATTTGCCATCTTGAGGAGTCCAAACAAGCTCTGGATTTTTACCTCTCAGGCTTTCATTTCAACTCTTGCGACAATCCCATTCAGAAGAGGAAAGCAAAGTCTATTGTGTAACTGGGCTACAAGACTTACGAGCCATTTTAGTTTTTGAAATAAGTAAAAATGGAAGTGAGAAAAATCCTTAAGACTAAGAATTTAAAGAAACCGGTTTGTCAAGGACCCAGATGGCACATTTCATGCTTTCCTTACCCATTTTCTTCAGAGTTGCACAGTAGTCTCCCCTCATCCATGGTTTCACTTGAAGCGGTTTCAGTCACCTGCGGTAAACTCGGTCTGAAAATATTAAAGAGAAAACTGCAGAAATAATCAATTAATGTTTTAAATTGTGCGCCATTCTGGGTAGTGTGATAAGATCTCATGCTGTCCTGCTCCACCCTGTCAGGCCGTAAATCATTCCTTTGTTCAGCGTATTCACAATGTATGTACGGTCTATCCTTTAGGCACTTAGAAGCCATTGTGGTTCCAGACTGACTGTTAACGGTATCACTGTGTGCTCAAGCAATCTGTATTTCACTTAATCATGGCTTCCAAATGGCAAGAGTAGAGATGCTGGCAATTTGGATATGCCAAAGAAAAGCCATAATGTGCTCCCTTTAGATGAAAAGTTCAGTACAGTACAATCGGGTATTTTGAGAGAGACCACATTCACATAACCTTTATTACAGTATGGTATTATAATTATTATATTTTATTATTAGCCATTGTTAATCTCTTATTGTGCCTAATTTATAAATTAAACTTTATCATAGGTATATACATATAGAAAAAAACATACATTTTGCAGTTTCAGACATCCACTGGTGGTCCCTGTGGGTAAGGAAGGGCTACTGTACTCATTTTCAAAGCAAAGGAATGAAGTGGATGGTCCAGATAGAGTCTGGGAAGTCTTTTGTGTTTGCTGAGTCATCACAATGCCAAAGCATGGAGCTCCTACACTTCATTTCTAATTTCTTGAATTCTCCCTGTGTGGCCTTTTACCTCCAGGCATTTGCTCGTAAGCCTCCTTCTCACCTTCACTGTGACAATAATCCTGAGATGACTTTGTATCAATACATGAAAAATACCCTCCAAAATTTGCCAAAATAATGGAAAACAAGAACTACTTTTAATGATAAGCCAATAAACAAAATATAGAACATTTCTCATTTACCAAATGGGCATAAAACTACCTTCTATAAAATTTTATCTATTATGCACCTGATAGTATATAGCATCATGTGGATGTAAGACGTGATCGTTATTACTATCATTAAAAGAAAAGAAAGAGAAAGCAGAAATGTATGGGAAACTTTTTAAAGAGATGAAAAATAACCAGGGAGATCTAGAGGACAATAAAGGAAAATAGAAGCACAAAATTTTTACTCTGTTCTTCCTAATCTCCCCTTCTGTTTCCTTCCTGCCCTAATTCTGACCTCAATGTTTCTCTGAAGCTCCAGAGCTCTGACAAAATTCCCTGCTGCCCCCAAACCCTGCATCCACCCCATCCCAAGGGCAAGAGGTCTTCTAGTTTCCTTCCTCTCTTCTGCTACCTCCAATACTCCATTTAACCTCACCGGCTCTGCGAAAAACAGAAAGCAACTGCAACTGGTTGAAAGATCTCTCAGTTGGGGCATTAGGGCTCCCCCTTCTGTTCTTGGGGTGCAGGTACCTGGGGTTCTGAATCTCCAGACAAAACTCCAGACAAAACTCCAGACAATATTGACCGGCAGGATCCTCCCTACTAGAGTGCATCAAAAAGCTATTTAGAGTAGTGTTTTACAAGTTTTAATGTACCTAAGAATCATCTATTCAAATACAGATTTCGACTCCATAGGTTAAAGTTGAGGCCAATATTGTGCAGCTTTACCAAGCTCCCATGTGCTGCTGAGGCTGCCGGTCTCTGAGACACACAGTTGCAGTTGTCTGTATCAGAAGTGCCACCAGGGGGATATCTAGGGCTTTACTTGGTGATTATAGCCTTTACACCAGAAAGTGGCAGTCTTTGCAGTCTTCAGTACATATTTTTTATCTTATGGGGCAGGTTTGTGTTTTCTTCAGATCTCAGGAAAAGAGGT